TCCAACATCATGGCGCCGAAGGCATCGCCAGCAAATGGCGGCGAAGCAGGAAGCCAGACAGGCCCAAGCTACGACGTGAAGGCTCCGAGTTTCAACCCGCGGACGATGACCGCGAAGAAGTTCGGGCGGCGAGTGGTTGTGTTCAAGATGCGCGCGCGAGTGCCAGTGGAGAAGCAGGCCGCGGAGTTGCACCGATAACTCCAGGGGGGCGCCGTCGTTCACGCAGAAGACTTAGATCCGACGACTTAACAGGATGTGCGAGGAGTTCAGACCCCAGTTGGTTTCCTCGCCGAGAAATTCGATGATGATAAAGCGATGGAACTCGGGACCGAGCTGCATATTTTATTCGCGAAGGTGCGGCGCGAAGCTAGAGGGGAGATTAATATATGCATCAACATATTGGACGCGCAGGTTTCTCGGCTGAAGACGCGGAATATCGAGGTACCCGACAATGCGTTGGTGTGGCAATGTATGCGGTCTTTAGGATTTCCGCCAGATCGGGAGGCTGGACTCTTCAGCGCGAGCGGGTACATGCATGGGCTGAAGCCGCTGCAGCAACAGACGCTGCTCGACGTTAAGGACGCTGTGTCGCTGGGTCGTCACGACCCGAGAAGACCGCCGCCAGCACCGCAGTCAGCACCAAGACATCCGAGACGACGGGGTGCACGCATGACAGAGTAGGAGGGTCCAGACGAGCCGGCCAACAGCGAGGCGCGCGAGACCGAGGTCGACCTGGAAGTCGCGCCGGAGGAGCTGCTCGAGGAGCAGGTCGAGGCAGTGGCCGAAGCGTTCAAGCTGGAGAACATGTTGGCTGGGGCTGAGGATCGACGGCGAGATTCGAAACAAGCCAGAGGATTTGATCATCGAGAGCGTCTGCCGGCGGGCCAACAGAGGCGGCGCAGACAGTGGGCGAGGCCAAGGCAGAGGTTCTGGAGATGGAGCACGATCAGTTCGAGTCGAGAAGCCGAAGATCCGGACCCACTGCGCAGCGCGCCATCGCCCTGGGCACTGGAAGGAGAGCCGGAGTGCCCAGGTCCGCCCAAGAAGGCCCCCATAACCTCAGGGGACGACGAACAGCGCGCTGAGAGTGACCAGCCGGCCGAAGGATACCTCGCGACCGCCGTGTGCCAGGCTGCTAAGGAGGAGTAGATCGCCGAGCAGAGTTTCTTCATGCGCGACAACTACCCCGCCGTGAACGTGGCAACGCCATCCAAGGAGGACTCATTGCAGCAGCGCGGTGAGAAGTTATTGCCAAATTCACGTTGCGCGAAGACCGTTGGAGGCCAAGTGTGGTGCGACGACCGCAAGCAGCATCTTGCTATGTTGAGATTGTGATGATTGAGATGGCTGAGCGAGAGATGCTTCGTCTCGGAGCAGGCGAACCAGTTGCGAGTGCGGCGGCCGCTCTCATCCCGATCGCCGTCGGCGGCGGACATTTCACGCTGGGGATTTCAATCGCGCCATGCCTGGCGCCGGGACTTCTATCCCAGCGCGCGCCGGCACGGCGCGGGGCGATTCACGAGCGCGGAGAGGTGGCAGGAGAGAACGCCGCGACTCTCAAGAAGCTCGGGTGGATGGGGCCAAACGCGCAGTGGGCGCCACAGTTTCGACGTGCTTGAATTTGACGGGGCCCGACTTTTCTCAGCGGTTCCAGACGCGAGCCCCAGCCGGGCAGAGATCAGGCTGCTTCCGCCGTCGCAAAGGTGGCAAAATTTTCTGGTATGCAACAGTCATCGGCATCCAGATCATCGCGACGCCCATCGAGGGGGGGGCCCGAAGAGCGATCCGAACGAGTGCGAGCGCGGTTCCGAGCGCTCGTAGATCAGCCCGAACAGGTCCGAACACAGAAACAAGTATGCGATGGTCGATCCGAACGAATACGCGCACACAATAACGTTCAGGTAGGTAAATCCGACCACGCAGAGCACAGACATAAACGAGCACGACAAGAGCGATCCCACATATAAAAGCAACAGAGCAACAGGCCGCAATCAGAGGAAATCAGCGCAGCAGTCTAAACGTGCAACGCACACAGAAACAAGAAAAGCATCCTCATGTCCAGCAGTGAGCCCACGCATGATTAACAGCATGAGCAGAAACATTGCTCAAACGAGGTCAGAAGCGACGGCGGCTTCGGCGCTAGATGCTGCCGGCGACTCTTAGGATGGATCCAGAACTGGGGCATCCCCTGGACGTAGGCGCGAACAAGTGCTTCAACACTGCCGCTCTCGCGCGCTCCAAGCGAATGTTCAAGATGCTCTCCGCGGCCGCGGCGGCGGCGAGCGCGCTGGCGGCGGCGCCCATCTTTCACGGCGGGCGCCGCTATGGGGAGAGCATCGTGGAGAACAAGTGCGAGCGGGAGTCTCAGGCGCCGCGCAGGTTATTCCCGCCGCGCAACGTGGTCAAAGCAGAATTCCAGGATGAAATGGAGAACGCAGGGACATTTCGAGCGGGAGCCCCTCCCTATTGGGTCCCCGCCTCGGGCGGGTCATCGGAATGGCTGTACTTGTCGTCACAGTTGGGTTTCTCGGGCTTGAATGTGGAGGACGTCTCGAGCGGGAACCCCGTGTGTGAGTGAGTCGCGAGGGAGTCTCGAGCTTGAGTCCCTCTCTGTGGGGTCCCCACCTCGTGTACGCTTGTCTGAAGCCAGGACTTGAATAAAGCATCGGGCGGGAGTTTAGTCGGCGAGTTAGTGGCGAAGAAGTCTCGAGTGGGATCCCCCTCATGGGGCCCACGCTTCGTTTTTTTCACAATCACACGGGCGACGATGAGGATTATTTCCAGATTCGCCGAGAATGCATCCTCATGCGGGGTCCTACCGTCGGAGTGAATTGCATGCTGTTCGCACGCTCGTCTTTTCATTCCTCGAAGCGTTCAAGACGACCCCAGAAGCCCTTAAGATCGCTACCGTTTGGCTAAAAACGGCCCGAAGATGGCCCCCAAGGGGTCCCAAGACGCACCAAAAGGCCCCTTGGATGGGGGCAGTGACGCAGTAGGCCCAAGACGGTCTAATTTGGGCCCAATGCGGCATGGCCCCAAGATAGCCCAGAACCCAGGGCCCAAGCTGGCCGACAAGGGCCAGAAAACTGTCCAAGAGGTCACCCAAGACAAGACGAGGCCGCCAGGTCCTTCGATTGTAAATCTGGCTGGAGAAGGCTCCGAAATGACCCAAATATGGCTCAACAGAGTCCCGCGACGGCCATGAGAGGAGATCATGCTTGCCCCGCGAACGGGCAGTATATGTAGGAGGAGCAGGAGGGGGAGGAGGAGGAGGAGGAGGAGGAGGAGGAGGAGGAGGAGGAGGAGGAGGAGGAGGCCGTCCAAGCCACCTCCTCACCCACGCGCCTCACATGGAACTCCAATACGGATGCGCTGTGCAACACCGTAAACAATGAACGCTCGTACCAGCCTCTCTCATGGAGTTCAGGAGGGATTGCACTGTAATGTAGCACTTCACGATTGTACCCGCGACTCCAACGCAACCCCCGGCAGCGGGAGGAGCGGCAGGGGTCGGTCGCGCGGGCGCCTCGTCAGCGGGCCGCCGTAGGTGTGTCGGATTTGACGCGGTTGTCAGCGACCACGTAGGGGCGGACCGACTATGCCAACGTAGGGGGAGACCCGTACGGAAACGGAGCCGCCTTTCATCGGTGTACGTGCTGGGTATGCCCTGACCAGCCTGTCTATCATGATTCAAGTGGCTTACGCCATTCCGCCGACCCCCAGAAGAGGAATGAAGTCAACGGCTGAGGCCTTTGGGGGCCTCTTGGGAACCCTCGGGGGGCCTCGTTGGGGCCTCTTGGGGGCCTCGGGTCTCTTGGGAGTTTCTTGGGCGCCTGCTGGCGGTCTCGGGGGCCCTCTTGGGGAGGAGGGCTCGGAGTGTCAGTTCGAATCACCTCTCTTGGGCCCCTCTTGGGGTCCGCCTCTTTTTGGTTATCGTGGGCGCCTCTTGGGCCGTCTTGGGACCCACTTCGACCGTCTTGGGGCCCTCCTGGCGGCTTCTAGGGCCGTCTTGGAGCGATCATGGGGGCCTCTTAGGCCGTTTTGGACGCTGTTGAGACCAAAAATGCAACTATGTTTCAATTATTCCTTTTCCCATCGGATTGTCACGAATCTTGCTTCTTGGGGCCCTCTCGGGGGTCGTCTTGGACCCTCTAGGGGCGTTTTTGAGGTCTCTTGGGCAATGTGAGGCTACCTTGATCGTCTTTGAGGGCTCCTGTGCGTGCTTGGTCCCTGGTTGAGCAAGCGTAGATCCATTCTTAGGCATTTTGGAGGCCAGTGAATGTAGAAATGGAGGTTCCAGAGGTCCCTGGGGAGCGTTGATGAGCTCGGAGACCCCCCCGCCCCCCCCCCCCGGCCACCCCCTGTCTAATCGGATTTCAAACTCCCAGGGGAGGGGGTAAGGGGGAGGGGGACAGCCAATCATCTCACACGCCTTCGCAAACCCGGCAAGCCGGGCTCGGCGGATTATACATGCCGCCTCTAAGGCGAGGGTTGTTTGCCCCAGGTCCGACATTACTAGCCCGTGTGCTCCCGTATGATCTCCTGTATGTTCTTTAGTATGGCTTCCCGCTAGGTCTCCGGTGTGATCTTCCGTGAGTGCGGCATCCCCTCTAGTCTTCCATTACAGTATGATTCATTGCATGGTTGTTGTTCTGTCTGGTCCCCCGTATGGTCTCCCGCATGGTCTCCTGTAGCGGTCTCCCGTAACGGACTCCCGCATGGTCTCCCGTGAGGTCTCCCGCACGATGTCCCGAAAGTGTCTTCCGCATGATGTTCTGTGCGGTCTTCCGTGTTGTCCCCCGTCTCCCGAGTGGTCTTTTGGTCGGTCTACCGCACGGTTTCCTGCATGGTCTCCCGTTGAAATTCCGCGTGGGTTCCTGCATGGTCTTCTGTATGCTCTCTAGTATGATCTCCTGCATGGTCCCCCATAGGGTCTCCCGTGCGGTCTCCCGCATGGTCTCCCGAACGGTTATGCCTAAATTCTTGCGTACAATATCCAGGTGAATTTGAGGAAGCAGCTGAACGAGATGAATTATAGCTTCGACTGGAGGAATTACCGCATTCCTCCTGTGGAAAGGAGACGCGCAATTAGCCGCTACTACATGAACACGCTGAGAAAGCGCGTGCAGAACGAGGTTCCGCTCTTTTTTGGGGGGGCTTGCTGCCGAGTGCCTTGAAGCGGCCCCGCGAGGGCGTGACCTGGGATGAGGTGGCTGCCGTGAACCCCTGCGCCCCTTCGCGTGGGTTTTCTATGCTTGTACATGGCAGCGGTAGTGGCAGGAGGAGTCGGTGCAGTGTGGCAGCAGACAAGACGCGGAAGCATTCTCGGGTCAGGGCACGTGACGAAACAGCTTCCGCCACGATGGTTTGTTCCCCCAGACCCTGGGGGAGCACACCACTTGGTAAGTGATGGCTGCAACCGCGAGTAGCCCCCTCGTAGCCCCTGGACCGAGCAGAGCACGTGACTGCAATGCAGTAGTTTCTCCGACATTTCCAGGTCGGTCTTAACGTTATTTGATGGAGGGGCCCATCTGTGCTTGGCGGTCTTGGCAAATGAAGCTTCCTTTCCTGATTCGTGGGTTGCTGATGTTCAGATGGCCCTTGTCCTGCCACGCGATTGCCTTTTGCTTTTTTGTTTTACTTTGCGTTCGACGGTGGTTCCACGAGCTTCAGATATGCCGTGCGTGTCAGATTGAACATTTGGGCTGTCGCGAATTCCACCACCATGTGCTGCCAACGCTGACGTTGCAGAGGCATCGCTGCATCTGCCGTCTGGTCCTCCGCTGTCTCAGTCCTCCTCAGCACCCTTCCTCTCTTCTGTGAAAGTTTTTGTTCCTCCCCCTTCTGGTTCCTCCTGCCGAGTCATCGTCTCTCCCTCCCCACTACCCCTGCACCCTCTGTCGTCCTCGCTCGGATTCACTTCGCCTTCTCACTCCTCCTCCTTGTCCTCCCCCTCATTTTTCTTACCTTCCTCGCTCCCCCTCCTCTCCCACTGCCCACGGAGGGAGGATGAGGATGAGGACGATGACGACGACGACGACGACGAGGTCGAGGTCGAGGTCGAAGTGGAGCACGAGCACCAGAACGAGCATGAGCACGAGGGCAAGTGAAGAGGAGGTTGAGGAGAAAGATGAACATCTGGTTGTGGGTGGGTGGAGTAAGAGGGCAGTCGTCCGGAGACGGGTTTCCCATCATTCCAGTCGTCTGGAGACGGGCTTCCCATCATTCTGAATTATGGGAAACCCAGAATCACGACAACATTGTTTTTGATTCCGAATTATGGGGAGCCGATGGCCAGACGATTGTCGGGGACCCCACCGGGACTTCCACCTCCCTCCCTTCCGTCCCCCCGCTTCCCGAAATTCGAAAGTCGAGTTCCTACAACACATATATATATATATTGGAATCACCCGGAAAACACATAATGCGGACTGCAATCCCGACCACTCGACCCCGAGCAAGAATCGTTTCTTTACGCTGCTGGGTGCATGCTGCGAAAGAGAGCGGGCCGGCGCTCCAGCGGCCCGCACCTCGCAGTGGCCCGCTGCCCTTCCGACTCCTCGCCGGACGTGGCGCGCTCGAGATGCCCTTCCTGCATCGGACAGCGCGAGGCGGGGTTTCGTGCAGCAGAGTGTGGCTTGCAAGGCCAAGCCGCCAGCCACACGCAGCACGCCGCTCGAAAGTCGGCGTCGGGCCCAGCTGGCGGGTAGCCACTGCGTGAACGATCTGTGAGCAGGACGTGACAAACGGTGGTGACACACTGGAGCAAGCCGGAGAGGGCGCGGCGTCCCGCAGATCACGAAGAGCCCGTTCGTCTCTGAGGGCCCCGGCGGGATCGACCTTCAGATTGTCCACCACGGTTCCGAGGTCGTGCAGCGCGGCCTGCTGCGTGGCCAACAACTGGCCCATGGACTTCGAGTGCACAGAGGACCGGTACAGGGCCGTGATGCACTCCAACGGCGCTTCCCCGACGTAGCGCGCGATCACGTCCGACGACCGTCGAGAATTTAATTGCATGGCCGCCAATGGTACGCCCAGGCCCGCAAGCCACCGGGCCACTGACGCGAATCGAGTGCCCACCAAACCTCCGCATGCTAGAGACGGACACCAGCGGCAGCCCCAAGCGCGACGCGACGGCCTCGAAGGACGCGACCACGGGTTCATTCGCGACGACGGAGCCCTCGGCGTCAGGGAGGAGCGGCTGGTCGGGGAAACGCACTGGCGGGGAAGCCGTATCCAGAAGCTCCACGTGCCTGGAAAAAGCGTGATATGGGCACGGCTCCGTCTGCCGCCCGTCGCACACACAGCCCCACGTCCGAGTGACGCCAAGAGCTTTCGGGTCGGTCCTGGAACACGGCAGCGTCCGAGCGACCGTGCGGGGCGCCCCGTCGACCGACACGTAAGCCCTCAAGGCAGCTGCCTGCTCGATCTCGCGCGTGCAAAAGAAAGCGCCAGTCACGATGAGCCTGCCCACGTCGACGGGCCCCCCCAGAAACGAGTGGCTCCAAGCCGAGCTCCAAGGCGGCGACCTGGTCCAAGGACAACGGCTCGGACTGCCTCGACGGCCCGATGCCGCGCTGCGTGCTCGCCAACGCCTTGCGGCAGGTCAGGGCCAGGAGGTCGGGCCACGCATGGCCGCGCACGACGTGCTCCTCCTTCGCCGTGGACGCGTTGTTCGGGACGGCGCGGTAGCCTCCAGCCTTGAACAGCGCGGACACTGCGTAGATCTCGATCGGCGTGAGGGGGAAAGGCGTCCTCCTCCAGGTCGCCAAACCATGCGCAGTGGAGGCGCAACCAGGTCCTGAGGCGGGGGTCACGGGCGCCGCGCGAGGAGCGCGCATGAGTGTCGGAGCGTCGGCGCGCAGCCTCTCCATAGCTGACTCCCTGGCCGCAGGCGAAGGTGCGGCTGCCAGCGTTGCATCGATGTCCTCGCGACGCGCGAAAGCCACGACTGGCATGTCGCGCCGCGATGGCGTCGCGCCTGCCGGGAAACGGCCGAAGAGAGCGCAACCTCCGGGCCCCCGCGCGCAGGTGGATGCTCTGCCGGCGGTGCCCCGCGCGGCGGCGGCAGCGCGGGCGCCAGCGCATGCTCAGCTGACGCAGGCGGAGCCGCGACGTGCCGAACGCGCGGCAGCGAGCCGCCGGGGCGCATGCGGCGCGGGGGCATACCTCTGCAGACGTAGTCCCAAGCAAGAACGGCGATTGCGCTGCCCCCTCTCTCGGCCCACCCCCGGCCCGAGAGCTGGCGCGAGCCGGGCCAGCGCGCTGCGCGAGGGAGAGCCGACGCGAGCCTGGTAGCGAGGACGCCACGACGGACTGCTGTCCCACCACCGTGAACCGACGCGAGCCGGACAGCAGGGAAGGCGGGGGGCCAGGAAACGCTGCTGCACCACAGTTGGTGGACCGACGCGAGCCGGGCAGCGGAGAGGCCACGACGAACTGCAGTCTCACCAACGGTGTGCAGACGCGAGCCAGACAGCAGGGAGGCCGAAACGGATTGCAGTCTCAGCGATAGACAGGGTGCGAGAGACGCCGAAACCCAGAAAAAGGAACACCGAGGCCCCCCCCTGGGAGCAAGCCGAAGCGACGCTGAAATTTTGCAAATGGCACGCCGAGCCCCCCCCCTCGGTGTACCAATCGGACCTCCTCCTGAGCAGGCCGAAACGGAATGCTGCACCGCCGATGGTGGACCGACGCGGGCCACGCAGCAGGGGGGCCGCGACGGACAGCTGTCACACCGACGTGAGCCGACGCGGGCCGGACAACAGGAGGCAATGGAACATTGCTGCACCACCGACCGATGGTGGACCGACGCGAGCTGGGCAGCAGAGAAGCCACGACGGACTGCTGTCTCACCAACGTGAGCCGACTCGAGCCGGACAGCAGGGAGGCCTGGAGAGATTGTTGCACCACCGATGGTGGACCGACGCGAGCCGGGCTGCAGGGGGGCCACGACGAATTGCTGTCTCACCAACGTGAGCCGACGCGGACCGGGCAGCAGGGGGGCCAGGAGAGATTGCTGCACCACCGATGGTGGACCGACGCGAGCCGGGCAGCGGGGGCCTGCGACATCGTGAGCAGACGCGAGCCGGACAGCAGGGCGGCCAGATTTTCTCCGCGGCGGACAAAACAGGGCGCGATTTGTTTTTTTCCGCAGCGGACACAGCAACTGCGGCGAACGAGAACAATTAATGCGCATGGCCTCATAACCTCTGGCCCGGCAGCGATCCGTCTGGCCCAACACTACTGCAGTTCGCTAGCGGCCGGCGCGGACAGCCATCGCGCGGCATCCCAATTTCGCCCAGGCACCGCGCGCCGCGACAATTCATCCGCCATGCTGCTGGCTACGCCGGGCGCGTGGCTCACGCAGTCCGGGCGGAACGCGGCGTCGCCGAGGTCGAGCGCGAGCTCCCTGGCGATGCGGCTTAGGGCGAAGCTACCGCCCTCTAGCTGGAGCACCGGCGTCAAGGCGGCCAGGCTGTCGCTCCCCACCTCCAGCGCGGCCCTGCCGGTGGCCCAGCGCTCCTTCCACATGCGCAGGGCCGCGAGACTGTTCAGCGCCTCGGCCGCTGCGCCTTAGCGCCACCAATCGCGATGCCCAGGAACGTCTCGTCGTGGTGGCTGAAGGGGGCGCCGTGCCGCGCGACGACGGCGGCGTCGATCATCGGGTGCGCGCCGAGCCCCGCCCCCAGACGCAAGCGCCGCCCACGATCCTGACCGCGCGGCCGCGGTTCGCGAAGGCGCTGGCCCAGAAGGTCAGCGACAGCGCGCCGGCCTTGCGCTTCAGGAAGGCTGAGATCCAATGCAGCGCTGGCGCGATCTGCAGTTGCGCGGCGCTCTGGAGGCGAGGCGGCGTCGCGCTCGTAGGATTGGATCGACCCCCAGAGCTCTGCCAACAGAGGCCTCCAAATGTACGCCAAGTTGGCGAAGTGACACGCTGGGCCCGCAAGCTTCCGAGCCCGCCTGATGGGGGCCACGTTCGACCGCAGCACGTCGTCAACCTGCGCCCCAAGAGCCTCCAGATGAGGGCGATGATGGCAGCCCGCCGGCCCCGCTCCCGCTGGCGGCCCCGGATGGCGAAGCGCGGGTCGTCTACGTGCAGCTCGCCGCGGGCGCGCGGGCGCGCTGGCGCCGC